CGGCTGGGCCCGGCCCGCGGCTCCCGAGGCAGCAGCGGCCTCAGGGCCCGTCCTGGGGCTGGTGAGGAGCGGATGGGCTGGCAGCGACGTGCCAGGGAAGGACCAGGGTCGCCTCTTTGTGCTGCCAGGTAGCGACCAGAAGGTGCTGCTGGTTTGGCCTCCTGGGGGCTGGGAACGCGTCGCCGCGGCCTTGGGATGTGGTGTCGGGAAGCAGCTGGGGAGCAGGTAAGGGTGGGCGACCAAAAAGGGCTACTGCCTAGAGCAGGTGAAAGGTGTCAGGGTCTCTGGGAGATTCCTTCCACGAGAGGATCCTAAACCTGTGGAAAGGGGCTCTGGGTGAGGACCAGAGGAAGGGATGGGGAAAAAAAAATCTTCCAAATGGTGAGTTAGTAGCTATACATCTGTGATTTTGTAACCATAAAACAAGCTGTATTCTCAGAAATGCCTCACAAATAAATGAGATACTAAAATTTAAAGTAAGTAAATAATAAATCCTTCAGTAATGTCACAGTATTTGTCCTAAAGAAAGACAAGTTTAGCTGTGCTCTCAGAGTAACTAGACTTAAAGGGGAGGGGAGATTTTAGTCTAAGACCTCATTCCCGGAAAATAAAATTAAACTTCCTATCTGGAAATGGGAGGACTGTGTGCATTTTCCGTATGGTACCTGGAGATGTTTACGTGTCCAGCCTTGTGGCTGTGTACATAACTAGTTTTCGAATCAGGGAAATGTGCAGTGCTAAAAATCCTGCAAGATTTAATATTTTTTACCTTTTTTTTCAGAACGATCTAATAGTAACCATCATTGGAGAATATTTAACAGTAAACATATGAGACTTTACAAATTCAAATATTCTAGAATTTATGTTTCATTTTGACCTATTATTGTTTGATTTTGATCTATTTTTGCCTGTGTTGACTTTGTATGTATAAGAGATGCTTGTCTCAGGCTGGACATACTGATCCAAAAGTTGTGAAGTTTAATAAACGTTTATGAGAAAAAAATGTAAATATCTCACCAGAACAAAAAAAAGCCCAACATATTTTGAAACTAGGAGGAATTTTTTATGTTTTGTTTTCCCGAAGTAAACAAAAATAGTGAATATCTTTACTTCGAGAGATGAGGGAACTGCCAGATTTGTAATTGAGAAATTAGGGAGGGGTGACAGACTGGTTCAGCTGCAGTTCCAAATTATCTGTGTTCTGTGTATGAAATGCTCCTTCTTTTGGTGTTTCTAGTGCAAATATTTATTTATTTTTTTAAGTCACCAGTGTCTTAAGCAGTCTCAGAAGTTAAGAAGTCTCAGAGTTGTGGTTTCCTTCCCCTCAAAAAAAATTTCAGGTTAGACCAACAAGACGACCTTAGGAAGCTTTGAGTTCCACCAAAACTGAGAGTATTTATAGTGCTACACAATAGGTGCTTTTCTACAGCTGAGGTCTTGTCACGGGTCTGTCCCACTGACCTCATAGGAATCTTATCAGTGTCATGCCTGTTCATTAAATATGTAATTGAGTGTTATAGGGTTTTTGCCATTCATTTTTGCACTCAGATAATAAAAATAAGATGTTCCTAATTATTACTATCTTCAATTTTTTGTTTCTCATGTCAGTTTCCTGCTAAACACTTAAGATACCTATTTCTGCTTTTGTTTTCAGCTGCCCAAATGCTACCTTAAACCAAACCAAGTTAAACTGTGCCAAAAGCTTTGTGACTGTCAGTGGAAGTAAGTTAAAATAATTCTGTAAACGTTTATGGTACAAAAACATTACCAGAAAGTTCATGTCTGGACTGGTTTGGATTGTTTGAAAAACTTTGTTTTGATTTTATGATGGTAAAATAATTTGAGTATGATGCAGTGAACATATGTATTTGAAGATATATTGTTATATCCTCTGAAGCTGATGTATCTGATTCCAGCAAAGCTTCCCAATTCAATCACATTTGAATTCACTATTGCTGAAAACAACTAACAGCTTTAACTGCTGTACATGTAAACCTTCTGGATGCTATTTAGCCTTTCTGCAGGCTATGGAATCTCCTGAGAAGAGATCAGTGTCAAAAATAGTAATGGAAGGTGTGTGCATCACTGATGTGCCAAGTTATGTATCATGTAAAATATATTTAGCCATACTGTGTTAGCATCTAGGGGGCCTAGTTTCTGGGTCATGTTCCCCATACGCTATTCTCCAGTCTCCTAATAAATAGTAGTCACAGCCTGAAAGACCTTACAGTCTAAGCCTCCAACATTGCACATAGTTACATGAATGCTGAAATTTACTACTTTGAATAGTCCCATTCTTCGAAGTCAGTGGTTTCAAAACAGCCCATTGTTTTTCTGTATAAACAAAAAGGGAGTTTGTGGCCACGTGGTGCATTTGTATGAAGGCTCCCATATTTATGTGAGTGTTGCCCTGCTTTGAATGGTCTGCTTTGGCTTTACATGAGTAGTAAATCGAGCTCCTTCAGGGTGAAGTTGTTCATTCAGAAGTCATCTTATACAGCTCCAGGGTACAAAATGTGTTAGGGCAAAAAATTCAGTTAGACAAGGAGGCCATATCTCAGGGGGAAAAGCAAGTCAATGGCATCAGGCTTTGTATTCAAACAAGTCATGTGACATGGCTGTGGCTTTTCTTCAGCTTTCTCCCACATTCTAGGGAACTGACATCTTTCTTCCCTCATGCAACCTGGTATGTCAGGGATGTTCTCCAGAAGGCTTTTTTGAAGTCAGTTGCTCAAGGTCAGTACATTAGGCCCAAACTATGGCGTGTTGTATAACTAAAAATAAAAGAATATGAACTGCTGTAAATTAAAAGAAAAGCCATCACTGAGACCAGAGTTAAGCATACACTAAGAAGTTTGCTGAAGCTAAGTATGGGACAGTAGTCATATAAAGAGAACAAGAAAGACAAAAAGAGTACCTAGGGTTTATAATATGACAGGAGCACACATCCTCAGATATAAACATGTGAATTATTACTTTGAAAATAAATCGGACAATATTCATTATTTTCAACTTACAACCTTTTGGGTTTTGGCAGAAAGTATTTCTTTATCATTTGTACTCTTCAATTTCTCCTTGCCTTCTTCTTTTTTGTCCCCCCTGCCCTTTCAGGAGTGCTTTAAGTTGTTATGAAGGAAAAGTTGGTGTATTTGTCAGGTTGAACATACTAAATAGAAAAACATGCTTGGCCATAAAATCTGTTTTAGGAATCCTGCTGGAATTCATGGGAACAGTTTTGTTTTTGTGTGAGTGCATGTGATGTTATATAGGATGGGAATCTTTTTTGTCTCAAGACTGATATCAAGGATGCCAACTTGTTTAGCATATCCTTTCCATATACCTTTCACTGTACATGTTTTTCAATCACTATTGAAATGCCAATTTAGTATTTGATGTGCCAGTTATAATTTGGCTATGTTTGTCACAAACAACAATAGACATCTCTTTGTGCAAAGCAAACAATAAATCAAATGGTTTCCAACATTAAACATAAGATGACTTGAGTTAGCCATACAAATATCCTTTTAAAAATAAAATTTCTTATCAGTTGTCTAACAGATTATAAGTATAGGTTTTTAAAATTGGAAGAGAGAAATCCAGATGGTGGGGCAGTGCAGAAAGGGTCAGTCCCTCATTTTGGTCTAACAAGGAAGATAGGCACAAACACACCCCCCAAAAAAGTCTGCTGCTTAATCTGCTTATAGGACAGGCTGATAACTAGAAAGATGAGGCTGGTAACAAAATAAATTTTATGGGAAAGTGATCCATTGAACATGTAATTAATACTAGCATCTGTCACCATTTAATGAATACTGCACTAAGCAGAGGATTTTGTCAATTTAGTAAAATGTTTAGCTACTTAGCTGTAAAAGGCAGGCATCATATGTATCCAAAACTAACATAGTTCTTTACAATATTTCACATATAATCTGCTCGTATAACAGTCAGGATATCAGAATTTTATCAGATATGTAACTGCAGAATTGTATGTTTTTCAGGAATCAGCAACTAGATTCTCTAACAAACATAATTAGAACATCTAGATGGGCAATACTGTAGGTGACTAGGCAGACAGTTCTGACCACTGCTTTTGCTCTTTACCTATCATTGGTCATATTGTTTAGTGTTTGCTTCTACATCTTCAATCAGTTTCTGATTAAATCAATATATGCTGAACACAGTGTATTATTATGGATACCAAGAACAATATTTTCTTAAAAGATCGTGTAATTGTTTTCATTTTAAAATAGTTATTTTCTTGGGTTTTTTAGTTGTAAATAACAATTCTGAACCTACAGCAATTAAATCTTAAAAAAAAATGTTAAAAAAAACCCTTTTCAGTAAACATCCTGATTCCATGTCAGATCTCTATAATGCTAATTTAAAAAACAAACAAACAAACAAAAGATACAAAAAAAAACCCCACAAAAAAACCCCAACAAAAAACCCACACAACAACACAAAAAACGAACCATAGCTGCCAAAATTTCAACTTTAGGAGACATCAATAAATAATTGTTTTACTGATTGTTGCCTGGTTGGTTTTAATTTGTACCTTCAGGCTCTATTGAGCCCTGCAAGGATAGTTCCTCCATTTTGAAAAAGGGTACTATAAAGTTAATAAAGTGTTGCCTTTGTATATTTAGCTTGCTTTTAAGTCTTGTTGATGACACTTGATATATAACCTATTTGATTGACAAAAGATGCCACTTGATTTGCTTAAGCCAGATGGATTGGGGAAAAATTAACAGATGTTATTACAGTAATTAAGCTGAAATTAATTCCATGTTGTGCGAACAATTTTTTTGCAAGATAAGTCTGATTTTAAGTAAGAATCTATGGAAGAGGAACCTCTTTCTAAGGTTCATTTGCCTAGCTGATTCATTTGCCAGTTCTATTCAACTATCTACTTTGATATTTCAAATGAAAAAAATGAGTTCTTAACAAAAAGAGTGCAGAAATTTGTCTTAAGGGGATTTTAAAAAATATGGGTTTGTTATGAACTACTTATATGGAGGACTTTAATTGCATAAAACTAGCAATTTGTTGTTGTTGTAAATTAGAATTGTTTCAAGCATAGTTTGATGACTTCAGAAGGCAGCCATTTTGTTCCAGCTCAGGTAATGCTCTGTTATGCTGGAAAAGAGTATTTCCAAAATAATTGAACAGTTTCATGGCAACAGTATCACACAGTATTAAGCAATTATTATCAGGAGAATGTTTGTTAAGCCTAAAATACATAGTGAAATCTGTGCTTTTTTGCTGTATCTAATTGAGATATTTAACTAAACAGTATTGCTTCTTGGAAAATGGAAACAGTTTCTTTTCTGGAGAAATAATGCTGTATTAGAAAAAAAAATATATTACTGTTGTCAAACGTTTCTGCCCAAAGCTAAAATTTATTGGTTTAGCAATGTTGTGATGTTGTGTTGTACTTTTGATGCTTGATAATATCTCACTTCTTCCATAATGCACTACCTCTGGATGTATGCTGTTCCTAGATCCTATCCGCAAGGTTTTGGGAAGATTCAGGAATTCTGGATTGATCCAGCACAAGAGACCAACCAACATATGAAAATTTGGACTGTTAGCAACTGAAGTGCAGTTTGTGATGTGCTACAGTAGCAATGTTGGCATTTCAGGGCTTTCTTATTGAGGGATCAAGGCTTCTTTGCAGATGACATCACATACAAAAGTTTAAGTGATTCCTTCTTCCTGCCCAGAAGACTAAATTAATTCTGGTTTGGTGTTCTTGTTTTGTTTCCCTATGAACGTTACTAAACACTTAACCCCGTGAAACACTAGTTTGTAAATTTGAACTTAGAGATATAACTGTTACTGAGTCCTTAAATGGTTATTACTTGTGAAAATTAGTTGTTTGTGAGCCTATGATAATTCAGTATTGTCGTGTGGGGTTACAATATTCTTTTTTCAAAAATGGTTGAGCTGTTATTTGAAGATTAATTGGAATATTCTCATATCAATTTCAATTAAGGCATGTTAAAGATAATAAAGTAATTTTAGTTAATAATGTGTTACCATTATTTGCTATTAATTTGGTTTTCTGTATCACTGGTAGCCTAGAGATTATTTTTTTCCTTTTGTCTAGACTGGTTTTTGTCCACTTCTACCTAGTCTTCAGTATAACAACAACAGTATTGCAATGAATTGCAATGTTTAAACTTCCATTTTGTTTTACATTGTATGCATGGCTTTAGTATTTGTGGCTTTCTGCAAAGGTAACATGTTTGATCTAGTTCTACCTGCCAAGAATGGTTTTCAGGTCATAAAGATGTAATAGTTTCCCAAACTAAGCAATCACTCCTATCTTTTGCTTAAGTGAATGTTTCCCGTACTGTACCTGAGTGTCTCTTGTTTACATGTTCATTACTGACAGTGCTTGTTCTTCCAGGGAAATAATTAGTCACATTTTTCACTTGCCTTACTTTAGGTAGTACACCCATTAACCTTGTTGCTCTCTGTCTTGGGAAGCCCCAGGAGTAATTCTACTTCTGTATCACCAAAGGTAAGTTTGTGTTCCATCTGTTGTCCCGTCTCTCTTCTTCCTGCTTCAAGTTACGAAAATAATTATTTCTTCTTTTCTGTTGCCTCTATTAACCAAGAGCAGTTTTCCTTATTTCATTTGCCACATACACAGCAGCATTCATATGGAGAACCATCAGATATGTTTACTTGACCGATTGTACCATATATGCTTTGTTCACTTATTAGAAATCAATTACATGCACTCAGTAACATGTTAGAGGGAAACAAGAGTAGAAGGCAAAGCTAGAAAAGGATCAGGATCTTTATCTCAAGGTGTTCTAGGCTATGGAAGTTCATCTAAGGATGCACTAATGTAATTTAAACAAACTTGAGAAAGCTGGTCTAAAATACTCTATGGAGGCTTATTTTGATTGGATATAAACTAAATCAATTTGTGCTAAACTGAAATATGCCTAAACTAAAACAAAGTAAAAGTGCCTGTAGCTTTCGGATGGACTTTGTTAAATTAGATTAAAATTGTGCACTCGGTGCTACTACTGTAAATGTAATTTGTTGTATGACACCTGAATTAGACACATTATCTGGAGAAGTGTAGTGACTAGAAGAAAGAACAGTAGTGCACAGTAAAATGATCAAAAACATTTGTTGTAAAATCAGAAGCCTAGGAGAGCATCTGAAGCTAGAGCTCTAAATAACATAATAGGATGATGGTGTACCATAGAGTGAAAGGAAAGACAACAGATGGGGATTGCAGAAGCTGCATAGCTGGAAAGCTTTAAAAGAGGAAACAGATACTTTTGACAGAAAATGCCGTTTATGTTTTTAATATATACACACATCAAATTATCGTGACAACTGATAATAAAAAAATAGATTTCAGCATTCACTACACCGATGCTACAGCTGAGCTGTGCAGTCATTCCTTCCTATACAGTTTACAGTGAGACTGAAACCTACAGGTAATAAGTGTTAAGTTCAGTGCAAAACAAGTAAATAAAATTGTAGTGGACAACGTTACTGTTTGAAGAAACAGAAAGGGGAAAAAAACCAAACAGCTTTTCACAAAGCATGCTGCCTGTAGTACTGAGTTGATAACTGATAGGGAAAAAGGGTTTACATGTCACCATAGCATTTTTTGAAAACTGGAGACACGGGTAGGAATTGAGCACATCAGCATGCCTGCACCTGGTGATGGATTCTTTAGTGGTCCTGTCATCTGGTCAGGGGGAATTACAGCTGTAAATAGACAGCAGGGGAATTTTGAAAAACACATTGAGAGCATTAGTCTGCTCTTAAAATGTGTGATGAGTTTTTTAGGGGCTAGGTCAACAGATGTTTCTCAAAATTTAGAGTAAGAGATGTCAGTGCTGGAAGTGAGCTGGCCATAGAAGAATATAGGAAAACAGTTTTCAGCAGATATTAGATTAGACTGGTTGCAGATACATACAAATCAGGATGATAAGAAGTATCCAAGAAGGAAGCAGTGAGGTGATTGAAGACTTAATCTGTAATAAAAGGAATGCCAGTTGTATGCACATACCCTGCTGTGTTTGCAGATTTCCTAGAAAAGGACTTTCTATTGTAACACTGCTGTCCTGTAGGTCTTTTGTACACCCAGCAGGGAACCTGACTGTTCTGTTGTTTGTTTTGTTGTTTTTGAATATGTTTTCACTCTAATGAGGAAAAAAAATAAAATAAAAAAATTAGAAGAAACCTAAAATACAGACTAGACCTGACATTGTAAACAAGGAGACCTTGAAACTGAAGTAAGGAGACAAAACAAAAATAAATGGTTTCAAATGAAACCTGTCAGGGTCTTATCTATCTAGAGAGGAATGTTATGTCTTGCACTTAGCTAGCATCCTTTGTTCTGTTAAATAGCGGAATAATCTTTGTGGCAGTCTTATCTAGGTCTTCCTGTTTAATCACATTAATAAATGGCAAGTGTATGCTCATAATTGAAGACACTGATCCTCTAGAGTAATTTTTTATTCCCTCTGATATTGTTGCTTTCCCCTCACCATATACCCCCTCCTTTCTGCATTGTCTCTCACTCTTCTGCTCTGCTATTGTTTCCTCTGATATATGTGCACAAGTCTGTATAAAGGTAGAAGTTAGCCTTCAAAGCACCTGTGCTGTAAGCATCTGTGATAAAAACCCTTTATCTTTTATTTGCTTATTTTCTTGCCTTCTTTTCTTTTTTTTTCCTCCCCTGCAAGCTCTGAGAAATCCAATGAGGAAAGATACTGATATAGGAAAGATACTGATAGAAAAATAAAACATAGCTGATAGGTATAACTGAGAGGAAGGGAAGAGATCATGTGAAGGCAGCAGATTTCTTGTTCAAACACAACTACTGCATTCCCCAAATGAAAAGACAGTTATTTTTTTCCAAGCTTGTTATCTTCCTCCTGTATTTCACTAAAATATTTTTCCTACACCTTAGGGGAAGCCTGTGGCAATCACACATACATGCATATGCAGCTGAAGTGGGTTGATGTTTTAGTGAAATGGGTGGCAAATGAACAGCTTTGTAGTTGCTACATACAAAATCTTGGAATTGAGACATTTCTTTCCTTCTCCATGCACTTGAAAGTTTTCTTTCTATTAATGGTGTTTGGGTTTTTTTCTCCAAAACCAAAGCAAATATAGGGGAGGGAAGTGTGTGGTGACTATTGTAATCCTCAGGAGAATCTATACAAATTTCCAAGTATATCCTGGTATCCAAAATTTCAACCCAATGGGCTGAGATAACTCCTTTTTTCTTATAGGAAAGTTTATTTAGCACAGCCTATTAGTTTTGCACTTCAGACTCTGCTATATCTGAACTGTTCATTCCATAGAAAGACTGAAAAATGAAGTATGTCTAATAAATGCCAGAGAGACCTGATTTGTTTTGGGTTTTTTTCTTTTTTTTTTTGCTCAGGACTGCATGTAAGAAGGAAACTACTGTCCTGTACAGATGTGGTCCTGTCATTGTAAACAAAATAATAATTTTTATAACTTCTTGTACTTTAGCAAGTGAAAACAGAATTTTGTAGCAGTTCTCAAATGAAACATGGTTGTTGTAAGCTCTACTTTAAATTTGAAAAAAAAAAAAAAGTAATATTTTGCTAGAAGAGAAGAAACATCCCATTTCACAGATGTAACAGGCAGCAGCTCGTACCTACATGATTTCATATTGTACATGCCTGGAATGTAGAACGGGATCAGTATTTGTGTTTAGGTCAATTTCAGTTTGGTGAATCACAAGTAGTATTTCAGATAAGTGTACTCAGGTGATCGTACTTGTCAAAAAGCTCTGTGCAACATGATAGAAAGGGTCTGAAAAATCAAGTAGTAAGCCACAAAACTAGCCTTAGTGTTCACAGATTGAGATGTTGATAGAATTTTCTAAAAATGTTAAAAGATGCCTCTCTGATTGCAGGGTTTAAGTCCTGCTACAAAAAAAAACCAACAACTGCGAGTAATGGATATGAGAGCTTCTTAATTTTTGCAAGATATTTGTGTGCCCCTCATTAACTAGCTACACTGTGAGTGACTATCATATTTTTTGTTTTGAGACAGTGATGAAATTGGTAGAAAAAAATTACTATGTAACTGAGTCAAGATCATTGCATGAATATTGGTAATGTGTTAAATATCATCTCTTTAACTGTTTCAGAACATCTTGTGAGATAAAGTATAACAAGCAACATACAGGTATGCAGGCACAGTGGGAATATTTATTTATACCAAGGATATCTTTTCATTGCCAAAATTTTAACTAGTGCTGGAGGCAGGAGGAAAAAAGGAGACTTAACAGATTCTTCAGTTCCAATTGATCTGCATTCTTGCTTTCAAGTTAATCACAATATGCCATTAGCAGCCTTACATGAAACAATTGCCCATGTGTATTACCAGTCTTCAGCAGCTTATCCCACAGGGATCAAAATAGCATTTACTTTATCTGCATCAATGTAAATGCAGAAGGATAGTCTCACTGTAGCTCTTTATGGAATTATTTAACTTTTTTTTTTTGCTCTTTTGCAAATACCTTAGTGGGTGCTACTTAGTTCCATAGTATATATATAGTACATGGTTGCCTCTTCTTGGTGAAAAGTGAGTAAAATGTTAAGGTATCTATTTGGCATTTTTAAAGGGACCTGAGCTTCATTCATTTTCAAAATGAGCATAGCTCTGTCTAAGGCTAAAGATTTCTATTGTCCTATTCAAATTTTTCTTTATTATTTATGCAGTGAATGTTCTAGTGTGAATGTAGCTGCAAGAAAAACTTTACAGCACTGTAGTATCAGCTTCTCAATTAGATGTGACTACACTAGAATAAGAGTAGAAAAAGCTATGGTACTATATGTTAGCCACAATAAACATCAAAAGGGTTACATTTAGTTGTCTGTATCTGACATGCACATGTAGATGTTCAGCCTTTATTCAAACTTACTGTATGTAAAGTATCGACAGGATACAGGCAAGGCTTGAAAATTACAGAAATGATGGGTGTGAGCTCAGTACACTCTGGAATCTGAGCTTTAAATTGAAAACTAATGTTAACAGTGAGTGCAGCTCATCATGAGTTACAAAGACTTAATTATTCTCAACTTTAAAATCTACATTTTTGACACTGAAATACGAGAGAAATCTAAAGTTAAATTTCATGCTAAGAGTTGCAAACCACTGTTGTCAGGTCCAGTATTTGTAATAGTACATTTAAATGGGTTCCTCAGTAGGTATATATGAATAGTATTCTGTGGCTTACAAGTTTAGGGTTTTTTTAACCTTGCCTATAACAGCAATGGAATGCTACTCTTGGCTTGTAGTGTGATCTTTGCTAACAATTGTGTGGAGGAAGAGCCATGAGTATGACTTTACTGTAGGCCCAGCAGTGACCCGAACAAAAGTCAGTATTAAAAGCTGACACACCATTCAAGCACATACGTACAGTTTTAAGACACCTCTGGGAAAATTACTGATAGCCAGGGCCACTTGTTCTCCATTATTTCATAGCTACATAGTTTACAATTCATACTCATCTTCTGTCTCAGTTGTGTGCTTCGCAATGCAGGCTTTTTTTTCCATTTTTCTAGCTCTGAGTGAGTTGAATGTGCACTTCTGGAGAGCTTTTTCCAGAGTCTCCAGACAGCCTAACTGCTGCACTTTCAACTGTCCTGTTATTGTGAATTTTAACAAAATCTTAAAATGATGGTTTAATTTTTAATACTGCCACTTCTGAATGTAGTCAAATGGCTATTTCTGCTTAACCACAGAATTTAATGCCTGATGAATTGTGTTTCTGTGACTAAATGGAAAACAAAAAGAGAATATAGTTTTGCAAGTTAATCTGTCATTAAACGTGTTTTAATTTCTACAAACAATTTGCACACAGGGATTGAGAATGTTTTCTTTGTCAGAACATTTCTCACTTGTCTAGGTATGTTAGGATGTGTATTGTCCTTTGAAGCATGTTGTAGAGCTGCTGGTAATCTAACCATGGTTTGATCTCTTACAATAATTTTGTTTTGGGAATGCAGTAATATTTACATAACCAGAGGAGTCCCAGATCTTAGCAATGTATTTATCTCATGGTACCTGATATTCCTTTCTTCTTTGTTTTTTTTGTTGTGTTTTTTTTCTTCGTCCATAATCGTGCATAATTTTCAGGTGGTGGAAAGTCTCAGTTAGGAATGAATTTCATTAATCCAGACCTGGAGAAATTAAAGAATGTCAGGAGGATTTTTTTGATTATTTATGTCTTCATAGTAAGATAACAATAATAATTACAAGTTTGCCCTGGTATGTATTGGAGTAATCTAGCAATATTAATCTGTAATAAAGATATTATTGCTTTGGCTAACAGGCTTTTTTGTGTTAATTTATTAAAATAAATGAATGTATGAATACTGGAAAACCAAAAAGACATGACAGTAAATGTAAATATAAATCCCAGCAATATTGATAGTTTAATTGTAAGACAATGATGGAGTTATTAACAACAAAAATAGGCCAGAAAGGAACTTGGTCCTTATAATGCTGTGCCAGCACATTTGTTCTTACGGCCATGTCATGAGCCACCTGGATTCCCAATCTGATTTCACATATGTAACATAAAGAGCAACAGGTACTTGGATTATACAACTGCAACATGACTTTAGGAGCATACAGCCAGAAAAAGAAAGGCAGTGGGTACAACACTAATTAAACCTCAAAATGTAGATTGATAGAGCTGTTTTCCAACCTGTTCCTGACAGACTTGCTACTGGGAACATCTGAAATAACTGCTTTTTCCCAAGTTCCACAGGACTCTGTGCCCCAAGTATTTATTACTCTGTGTCTTATAATCCTGGTTCTCAGTAATAGATTAATTTTAAGAGATGTCATGTCACCAGATATGGTTGGTCATGGCTCACAGAGGAAACAGTCTCCTGAAAATACAAAGCCAGAGACACATGAATTCAATAACTGCAGTGAACACCTGAGGTCTGAGCTATGATCTGGTCTGAAAATGGAGAGCTTCATAACTGCAGAGACTGGACTGAACTCTGAGGCTTTTGTAGCCCAGGAGTGTAGACACCTTGCAGTGGTGACATTTTTATAATTATTTTTTTAATAAGCTGCTTTTCTGTTCTGTTTATGTACAGAGAGACATACAAAAAATTTAGTTGCAGATGTGATTTCATATTTATCCTATTTTTATGATATACTTGAAAGATACCATTTACAAATGAAGTCCTGTTTTCCTCATCAACAGCTTTGGTAGACATAATCTTATTTACAGTGAGGCAGAGCAGGTCTGCTTTCCCAGAAGTACATGAATCACAGGTGGTAGGGGAGAGGGTGAAATTATCTCACTAGAATATACCATCTTCAAGACTAAACCTGAGTGTATCTCCATTTAGGATCTCAAGTAAGACCAACACAGGTTTCCTTTGCTTATTAAAATCTAACACTTCCTACAACACAATCAAGAGATTTTTAGTCCTAGTGAGTTAATGTGGTCTGTGTTTCTATGTTTAGCTTTGTGTTTCTGATCTCCATTATCATTTTTGCAACTGACCAATTTCAACTGAATTTAATTGAAATAACACTTCCTTAGGCAGTTGGGTCAGGAGACAAAGAAGTAGTTTTCCACACATTTTTGCCAAGAATTGCATAGAATTTATAGCTGATTTTTAGCAATAGGTTTTCATAGGTTTATTTTGAAAACTTAATTTCAGGTTTTTTATTTAACCTCCTAAAAGTAGATTTGATATGTGAAGGATATCACATATGTGAGAACTTCAGCTTGGTTTTTTCCTCATTGCTTTTACTGTAAAATTTTCCTGTGGCATTTGAAATTAATGTAGTATCACAATAAAACATCTGTTTTAGATGACCAGGGTACAATGATTTAAATATTTAAATTACTGTTAGTATGCGTTTTTCTACTGTTATCCTGTTTTCAGGAGCTTACAGTCTGCCTGCTTTTTCTTGAAAAGTGTTACTGGTGGTTCAGAGGTTTCCTATCCCACAGGAACTATTGGAAGCTACAGTACATAACATTTAGTAATTTCTTCCTCCTCTTAAAATTATCTCCAAAATCATACATGGGGTTTTTCTTCTGGTTTTCAGTAAAATTTTAATATAAAGTAACGGCATTTGTTTTTTGAAAAATGCTAACATAAATATATGTATTATGAACATAAAATTACTATCTTTGTGAAAAGTTGTATTGTTATATTGGTATTATTTCTGCCCGTAGCTCTTGTTGTTCCACACAACCTGATGTTTTTACACCACCTCCTCTCCTCCTGTTAAAGGAGTTTTACTGCTGTTCTCCTAAGTATTCACAAATTACTGGTTTTTCTATAGTTCTCCACAAATACATATACTGGAATAATATTCTAGTTACCCTTACTGAATTTTTTGCCAAATGAACGTTCAAATAAAAGACTCCTCACCAGACCAGACCCGTGGTTTGCTGCTAAATATGTGGTTCATCTCTACCAGCAAAATGTTTCTCTGTTGTTAAGTATTAGTATTTTCTTTTGTTATCTTCTAGTTCTCATTCCTAAGATTGTGTCTGTTTTCACATGGTTGGAGATTTTTAGAGAAAATTTAAAGCATTTGGAGCATCCAAAAGAAAACTAGAGAAGTAAACATTTTATAACAAACATTAACATTTTAGTAAATTTCTATTAGCTACCATACAGCTGTAAACATCCTTGTTTGTTTTGAAATGGTTTCTTTACTTTTTGGACAGCAAAGTAAGGGATCATTATTTTATTTCCATAGTCTTGATAGAGCCAAGAAGGAAAAGCAAGATTTCGTATATGGCTGGATTTTCTTTATGGTTTGGCAAAGGTGGATAATTAATTTATGATGGTATAGGGCAAGAGAAGAGAGGTCTGTTAAATTTTTGGGTGAGTCAACAAATAGTACAAGTTATCAAGTAGTGTCTAGCACTTGTGGGATGAACATTTCACAGAAAAGCTGAATTTCAATATAATTTCACAGTTCATTATTAGCTGCAGATACATTTTTGAAGCAAGATGCATACAGCTAAATATTTTAAAACAGCCAAACCAAGTCACATTATTATTTCTAGTAATAAATAATTTCCAAGAACTCAAGGAGCAGCCAATATTCATGTTGTAGCCTGAAATAGACGCACACTACAGACAGTATCATTGTCATTTCTAGTATGCAAAGATTTGGATCATTCTTACATATTAGCTTGAATTACATCAGCCAGGCAATTTTTGTACTTGCATAGGAAATTTGAGAAAAATTACCAACTATATAGAAGTGAGATGCTTGAAAATCAAAAAAGCAAATAGAACCAACAGCAAACTGGTTTTCCTTGCAGTATGATACAGCAACAGAAAAGAAATCTTGAATTCTTCCATTTCATTTTAGTGGTATAACTGTATCTACATAAGAAGTAGAACTGCAGAGACTATTAATGTCAGAGCATAATTATTTTCTCCAAAGCATACAAATGAAGTACTTTTTCAGTTGTTTTATGAACCTCGTCCTGAGTACATAGCACTGTTTTTATGTAAATCAACATAGATGTGCAAAAGTAGACAAAATGGATCTGGACAAGTTTCAGTTCATCTTTGCTGCTGTTTTTTGTGTTCCTCAGCTGAGACAAGAATTTGCTCTATGCTAGACAATGTACATTTTTTAACTAAAGCTTTGTTTTACTGCTCAGGCATCCTGAATTTCTCTAGTAGCTCACAAGTCTAATTGAAATGCTGTAAGTTAGTATTGTTCGGTATAAGATACTATATGTTATTTTTCTCTAGAAAACATTAAAAAGACCCTTGAGGTGACTTTCTGGGTTGCTTTTTAGGGTATGCAGGCCTAATATGGGGCAGAAATTTCAGACTTTTACAAATCAGTTCTCTCTTGGTTTGTTATTCATTGTGTTTGTTTTTTTTTAATCACAGTTCAGATTGCTATAGTGTTTGGTGCCAAAGTTCTGGATCATGTCCTCAGTCTGTGCTGAGGTAACACTGACTTCCTGGAACAGCTTCCTGTCCCATTGCTCCTGTACATCATTTCCTTTCTGGAGCTTGAAGATATTGCCAGGCTTTCTCCAGTTTCATGCTGATTTGAAATGGTTAAAAAAACCATAAATATATATAAAAATTATTTTAGCATTGTTATCTTTGCTGTGCAGAATGTTAGTTGTGATTCATCTCACATTTAACATAATCTTTAATTACTCTGCTTTACTTAACGTTTGAGACAATGAATTAATCATCAGTATCCAAACAACTGAACAGGTGCAATAAAAACTAGACCTTAGAAAGCCTGTTGGAGAGACTGTGCTTATCCTGCAAACTTTTGTTGCAGATAATAAAGACAATTATCCAGATAATTCCATTGTAACCCATGGTTGGGTGTTTTATACTACTTCCAGGATTAAGTGCTTGAAATGTAAAACCCATGCTTTGCATTAGGATTTGCAACACTGTAATGTCTAGGAACTTCAGCTTCAATCCCTTATGCTAGACTCATTAACAAACAAAAAATCATTGAGAGATTCCTGGAGGGCTTGCATTTTAAGTCTGACAAAAGACAGCACAAGGAAAGATTTATTTTTTTTTTTTCCCCCAACATTTTTGCAGAGCTGATAGCAAGGAGTTGTAAGAAACAGAAAGACATCATGCTTGCTTGCTAGGAAGCTCTTTCCAGCTATCAGGAAAGTGTGGGCAATAGTATAAACACATTGAATTGAAACTTCAGAGTGAATAATTAAAGTTGCCACTATTGGCTGATTGCAGAGCCTCTCAATGCTGAATGAGGGCTAACAAGTAGGGAAGGATACCCTGGAAGTCCCAGGAGTACCAGGACCCATCTGTTGGTGCAGAGAGAAAAGTCATAGAATAACTTAGGGTGTGTTGAAAAGGCCTTTGAGGCATCATCTATTCCAACCTCCTGATCTGTGCAGGGTAAGGTAACTGGAGGGATGGAAAGATAATATATTCAGAGCTGTGATCTAGGAAGCTTATTTTTGTGGTCTGAATGCCTTAAAATTGCATTTTCTATCCCAATCAGAGCCTCAGAAAAGGCTGATGCAGTGACTCAGGTGGGGGGGTGGGAAGAGTCCTAGCTTATGAAAAATGAAAAGCATATTAAAGAGAAAAAATAACCAGATTCTTATCCCCAGGGGTGGTGTAGGAGCCTAGAATGAAGCAGGTCAAGTTATGGATTGTACAATTACTGAAGACATAAGTAATGGTGAGACCTTGGGAGGAAGATGAAATCAGGTTTAGTCATCTTGAGTCTGATGTGACAGCTAGATACTCTGAAAGACTTCAGAGAGACAGATTAACCTTTTTGTTTGGAGAACAGGACATGTCTCTGGTACAGAGCATTTCTCCAAATTGCATCAAGCTGAGATTACACACATGGCTTGTATTATTTTGAGCCTATGGAGCCCAAGATTGCAAGAAAAGTTCTGTAGAAGACTGCTGACATTTCAAGAGGACATGGCTGTACTCCTGTGATGTGGCTACAGAGACATTATAGATACTTTATCAAAAGTGAGCACAAAAAATAGGAGATGGTGTAAAGAACAGCAGAAAATGGCAAGATAGGAAAACAAATGAAAGGCAGATGGAAGTATATAAGTTTGCTGAGTTCTGGGCTTTATTTCAGTTTGAAAATAAAACAGTTGATATTGTGACTGGGAAAGACCTAGTAGAGGATGAGAGAATATAAACAACTAAAGAAGAAGAAGAGAATGGATAGAAGGGAGGTCAGGAAATCATGTATTAGTGTATTTGGAATCCATTTGTTATTTGCAGTGTGAGTGGAGTAGGATGAGGTACTGAGGAATGCAGTAAACTTTTCATTAGTTTAACATAAAGCCTTGGATATTCTAGAATTTAAGGAAATCCTATGAAGAATTAAGTTGCATAATAATAAAGACAAGATTTTGGCACAATTAAATAACCTATCACAACTAGTAATGCCATGCTTTCTCTCATTTCAGCAGTATTCTTAAGGAATTAAAAATTTGCTCCAATACTATGAATTTTCATTCCTGACTAATTTATGTGTAGGCTGTAATTCTGCTCTATGTGGAATCAAAAAAATATTATATTCAGATTTTCGAAGAGGGAAAAACAGAACAGTCTCTGTTCTCGGGACTGCAAAGAGGAACGTAAAAGGCTCAGAATGTCTATCCTGCTCAGCACATCTCGTAGGCTGGATTAAACAGGTATGCCATGTAGTTCTGAGCATAAACCCTGCTCTCCAGTGTACCCCAATGCTTTCAATATGCATTTCAAAGGGTTTTAGATTTTCACTATGGACTGTTTCTAAATATTGTAACAGAAGCTCCACCTCAAAAGAAACCCTGTGCAGAGGCCCTGGTGCTGACGCCGCTTCTCCCTGCAGTTATCCAGGCACCCCTTCAGCAAACTTCCATATTGTGATGTCTTCCAGCACAAGCTCAGGATAGGATCCGTTTAGTTGATCGTCCTTAGCATAAACAGGCACGATTAAACTAACAAAAAAAAAGAGAAGGGCTGCCTGGTGTGAGCTGCAGAAGCTGCTCCCGGCAGAGGGAGCCCGGCTCCCGGCGCCGGAGGCGCCGCCGCCCCGCGGGGGTTTGCG